ACTAGAATGGAATTGCATATATCTTGAGTCCTGGGGGGCAGAGTGGGGTAAGGTCTATATACTGTAGTAGTTATGAATCAAGTAGGCAGATGATTCTGTGTGTTAACAGATGGGCCGAGTATTATGTTTCTATAGCTCACTTTGGTCATTAAAACAGTTATTTTCTTAAATATGAACAAGCTTTCAAAGGTTTGAGATGGTCCTGTACTAAGAATAAAGTTATACTTGTGACAAGGTCTTACAATTACCTTCTGAAGACCAATTAAAATAGCACTGTTGGAACTAATACTGAATGGCTAGTTAATGCTTTAATACATCCATCTGCCAAGAAAAACTCTTGATAATATCTGAATTTAAGAAAGAATGGCACATAAAATCTTCTGAGAGAAACAATTATACAGACTGTTCCAAACCCTGAAGGGTAACTACGTATAATGAAAAGTCCAAAAAGCTGATATAATTCAATGGATTTACTTTAAACTTCAAAAACAATCCCTACTAGGACTTTTGAAGTTCTTTGGGTTGATTAGTTACTATATATATAACTATGGAAGATTTATGCTTTAAAAAAACCAAACAAACACTTTTAAAGGCAGGCATAAAAGCATGGTAGTTGAGTAGATGCACCCAGGTTGGGTCAGTCCTAAATGTCTGATCTCAATTACGCTGGTCTAATTGGTTACCACTTCTTTGTGTCTCAGTTTCCTCATCAGAGAAATAAGGAAAACTAGAACCTCTCTCATAAGGTGGTTGTGAGGATTAAATTAGTTAATACACAGACAGCACTTAGAAAATTGCCAGGCACATAGTTAGCACTGAATAGATTTCGCTATTATTCTTATAACTTTATTCAAATATTGCAAAGGCTTAAGAAAGCATTCACAAAAATAAATACTCTTAATCCCAGTTTGTTTTCACTCTATGTCTAGGAGTAGAGCTAGAAATTAGGAGATCTGTGTTCAAATAGAAGATCCATCACCCACTAGTCACTCTTAATCATTCAACAAAACTGGCTGAGCAACTGCCTGCACCGGGCACCTCTCCAGCATCAGGCAGTTATTTGGGGAGTGATGAACTTGAGACATGAAGCCAACATTTTAAAGTTGCTTCCTCATCTGTAAAATGGACATAAGATCTACCTGTCTGACTTGTGAGGCAAAATGCATGAAGGCACTTGGAAGGCTTGGAAAAGCACCATCAGTGGATATTCCAGGAACATGGTGTAGGGTATATCTGGACTTTCTCAAAGGAAGTTCATCAGTCATCATTACAGGTCTTAAAAAACTTCTTAAAACTGTAGGTTTGTTTCTTTAGAACATTGTTTATAAAACAGTAATATATTTATTATAAAACTATTTCTCTTCTTGAATCCCAGCACTGCAAGAGAGTATTAACATACCACACAGTTGGTAGAGGAATAGTTTCCTTTAGAAACTGCAGTTGCAAAGAAAGTGTGAAGCCATGTGTTTTATGGTCATAAATTATTATCATTATTATTAATGACCAATAACTGGCAGTTTCATTATCTACTAACTGCTATACAAATACAATTTCACTGAGCCCTTATAGCAGCCCCATAAGGCAGGTATAGCGACCCCATTTTATAGGGCAGAATCCAAGTGACCACAGAGTCTGTGTTCAGAAACACTATACTACATCACACAATAAAAATACTAGCAGCAAAAGCCACAATTATTTTTGTCTCCACCAAATCACAAACTGAAGAGAACTGGTAGATCAAAGAGCTCTAAACTGAGTTCCGATCTTTCTTGATAAAAGTGACTTCAGAAAAAGTTATTATGTAATTAGTTCTTACTGTTCAGTTCATTTTAAGTCTTTAAAAGCATATTCCCAGTTTTTTAAAAAATAACCCATTGCTCAATTTAAAAAAATGAAAAAGTAGAAAATAGTCACAACTCCACAATTAAAAAAAAACAAAAAGCTGAAAATATTCACAATTCCACCATTCACAGTCCACCACATGACACAGTCCCTTTGCATGAATTTTCATGCAATTCATGAGTTAAGAAATTTAGTTTTTGATGACTGTTCCTATGTCAAATATAATGGTTAGACTGTTTCTAATCGACAGATATAAACTAATACTAAATGTTAGGCAAGTAGAAAATTACTATATTACAGAGGTATGTAATGTTAATGTCTTCCCAAATTTTCCAACTTTGAAAAAGCAAGCAGAGAGCAACTTATCTCAGTGGTACTATCTCCAGACTATACTGGCTATGTGAGAAATTTAGTTGATCTTTGTATCTGTGTAAGTATATAGACACGTACATTTATCTACATATACTAAGCTTTTGGGGGGCTGTGTTAAGATTTATAGCTTTCTGCAGGCCTGATAATACTATAGGTAAATATATTATTACAATAGTTTAGGAGAAAGTTGCTTAGTCATTGAACTTTGTCAAAGTTACACCTACGGGTGATTAAACTGTAAAGTTTTCCCTTGTGGACAGGTTAAATATTTGCTTGAGCATTTCCAAGATAACCAAAATTCTTTTTGGAGATATCAATCCTGAGTATAAATTCAGAAAAGAAAATTTTACCATTTGTGAAGTGATATAAAGAATGTTGGAAAAAACAGTGACAAAGAAGCAGAATAATTTACGGCAAAGATTCCAGGTACTATGTCTAAGTGTATGTAACGCCACATTACTGGCATTTTGATTATGGTGACTAACACTAAAATTGTTTTTCAAACTATCACTGAACATAACTTTTGCTTTTCTTCATGCCATAAATTTAAAAACAGAGTCAGGAATCACAAAAGTTTTTAAAAATGAACTTTCTAGTGCTCTCTCTTATGTAAGAGGTTTATTATGTTAGTCATAAATTCTAAGAACCTATTTATATTGCTTAACATGATTTACAAAAAATCATGTAATATCTATACATAATATTTTAAATGTGAAAAACAATATAGATTACTGGATGGGTAAGAATAAGAATGTTCAATAGAACTGTAGTTAAAAATCAAGAAGAGTATAAGCTTAATACTAACAGAAAACTCTATACAGACAAAATGAACATTAATATATTCTAGAAATATTTTTGGATTTTAATGTACATGAAAATATATACTGTGTGTAAGTTCATGCATAATACTGCAAAAATAATTATCAAGCATTCCTGAATTAGCGAGTTAAAAGTGTATATATTTTCTTCAGAGAGTGAAATTATTTATGTCCTTAAATAGGAAAAAATTAAGTCAAACTATTTTCATTCTGTCCAGCTGGAAATGAGAAGTTTAATAATAAAATGAGATTTTAAAAATGACTACGGCCTATTCTCCATAAAAGAGAATGTCAATATTATACATTCTTTTATTACAGAACATTTTTTTTATGGAGAAAAAAGGTTTATGAGGTACTTATATATATAAATATATGCATATACATATATAATTTTAAACAGAATTTCTTTTAACTTTACATTTATTCTTCTCTTTAAAAATAGCTTTAGGAGGCTACAAATTAAATAGTCATGATCTATGCATTCCCCTACTTCATATTTAGGTAATCTGAAATAGTATGTTCAAAACTATATTTCAAAAGAATATAAAGATATGGGCAGATGATTATGCTTAAAAAATTACAATTCAAATTGTGCACTGGTTTTGAAGTGAGAAGGTGTATTATGTTATATTGTCTATAAATATTTACTGAATAAGTATGATTCACCTGTTGTTTTTAAAATCTTGTAAGCTGATTAAACCACAAACATGTGGAATCACTTTTAGTAAAAACAAGCAGAGTCTTTTAAAATAGTTATAAAGAGAAAGCATCATTGAAAAAAAAAAACCTTTCCAAAATCTTCTGGTGACTATTTCTTTTAAGGTTAGAAAAAAATATACCAAAAACAGGATCAGCAAGTCACTGTATGTTTCAGCCTTAATATGTTAAAGTAATATATTAAGATATACTATACATAATGAAAGCATAAAAGTGCTTCCTATTGAAATTTTCACCTTGAAGGCTTAACAGCTATTTTTAAAAACATCACAACAACGATCATTTAAATTCTCAATATGGGAACCAAAAAACCCCCAAACCTGGCAAATCTGCATTTAATGCTTCAACTGAAATGTAAATTTCTAATACAACACACATACCCATTTGCATCGGACTTAGCGGTAACAATTAATTCTTTACCATTAAGTGGTGTCACATGCAGTAATGTGTTCTGAAGTCCCTTTCTTCTTGAAAGTCATATTTCCAAGGAGTCATTCATTGCTGACTGTTCATTCATTACTAAAACTATTCATTCAGAAAAACATTAAAAGGAGTCTGTATATGTCCTTAGAGACTCTAACTTTCAGAAATATAGAAATATATTTTCTGTATATAGAAATATACAGAATATTTAACATACCATTAATAATAGTATGCTAAAATAGCAAATAATTTATAACCATAAATATATCTCAAATGAGAAAATCACAGAAGAGAACAAGGAACATTTTTACCACCTAGATGCTCTTTAAGCTACTACTGTGATGAAAAGACATTTTTTTTCTTGACCTAAAACAGACCTTACACCTTGAATGGCAGGTGTCCTTATACCAACACGTAGAATGGATCTTAAGCGCTGTTTAAAGTTACTGTGAAATTTACACATTCAGATGTGCTGCTTCATAAAAGGTAAAAAAGTTAGTTAAAATATTTGGTATCATTATTGTTATCAGTATTCACTGAAAATTATCTTTCCTGTAACATGGACTTAAGTCTTGTGCCAAGTAACAGCCCAGATTACAGAATCATGGTTGGAATCATGGTCAGTGACTTTGCTGGTTCACACCCAGAATGAAGGAATTTGTCTATAATAAATAATTAAATAAGCAGCATACTTTATTTTAATATAAGTTGCTAGAACTGAACAATGGGTTTCTGGGTACACAGAGGCAGAAATAAAGTTTCTTTTCATAAATTACAGTGATGGTGGGGATATTGAGAAGAGGCGGCACGAGGTTGCTAGTCAGCTTGCTAAAATATATACTTGAGTTCTACTGGAGGTATGCAGTCTTGCTGTGTACCAGTTATTTGTAAAGGCTGACTGAACAAAATTCCCTTCATCATACAGGCACTACTGTCTGCGCTACAGTAATAGAGAAACACGCTGATAGACAGAATGGCCTCAAGTGATAAACAATCTCCAGGAATCTGCAGTGAGATTGTTGGTTGATTGGAAATGCTCTTGATCTCTCCAGATGGTACCTGTCCTTGAAGAAGCCATTCATTGCCTAGAAAATAAAGAGATAAATTATTAAGACTGCATAAGAAGTTGAGTAGGAAATCAGACAGACTTTACAAACACTAGATTTACTCAACTAACAATATTTACTGAAAGCCTCTAAATGCCAGGCATTGTGCTCTGTGTGAGGAACACAAGATATAAGAAGTCCTAGTCTAGTTATCCTGATATCAAATTAAAATTCTTTTTTTGAACACTGCAAACATAAATATAAATTAATTTTTATTGAAATCAAGATGAAAATTACAAGTATGGTTATAGATTTAAAATGTGGTAAAATTAAAATGAAAATGTAAAACTGAAACCTGTTAGTAAGTCCTAGAAATAAACATAAGACACTTCAGAAAAGTTAATTTTTACCAAATAAAAGTGTCTAGAAATATAATATGCAAACTATAAAACAAGCTAGGGAATACAAACATATGTACAACTCTGCAATGACTTTCCAGTAAAGACAGTGATGAATTATTGACTATCCAAGGATAATAAAAAAAATTTGATTTAATTTTTCAGAAACAAGTAACACTGCATACATTATTCCAATGGACTCAATGTAAAAAACAGATCTTTGTTTACTTCATGTTAATACATAAGACTCCTCTGAGACTCAAATATATAATTCATCTATACAACAAACATCTAAAAATCACTAAAAATCTGTCTTCTAGTATTAAAGTTTTCAAAACGTCTTCATTCACCCAGTGTCTTCTCTCCAAAGGAACGTGTGTGTCACCCTGAGGAAGCACATACCTAGGCTGACAGCGTTAGAGGGGCTTAGCTATTAAGAGCCAGTGTTTGGGAAATGCAGGGCATGCTTTCCTGCCATCTGAAACAGAATACACTGAACATAATCTAACGACTTACCAATGACTCAGGGCTATCTGGACAAAAACTAGACCACCTACTGAGCAGTGATGAAATTCTATGTCTAGTTTTTAGCTTCTCTTTCTGTTTTGACTTCAGGATGAGTCGACAGACTACAGCACCTGTCTCTACCTGTCCTCTTCATCTCTCCTTTAGTTTATTGCTTCTAATATTCTGTTGATTGAAAAATTAAATTTGAGAAAAATATATCAAGAGTAAGGAAAATGTGAAAGGTGAGACTCTAAAGAGTTAAATGCAGAGCTTTTAAACATAATTCTTTTTAAAGTCTCTGGCCTTCTTTGTTTATTTCTGGACTGAGGAATATGTTTGATTTTGTTATACAGCAGATTAGTAGGGGAACTTCTTATATTTTAAATGAAAACAGGAAAATAATAAATTATGCTACTTTAATGTCCAGGTTTAGAAATAAAAGTGTTTCTGTAGACAATTTTCAGATACTTCACATGAAGGATTTGTGAAGCACAACATGCCCTTGGGGCTTTTATACTGCCATTTATTTATTAATTTATTGGCTTAAAACCTTCCCATAAATGCTGGCAGCTTTAAGATTAGACCCACCAAAATTTAGTTAAAAATCAGTGTTATGGTCTCTAAATAACAGGCGAAGAAGAAAAAAATGTCCTTTAATCACAGGTTTACAAAGGTACCCTATAAAATAACAGTCAAAGACTTAAATTATTAGGATTCTTGCTTGAAAGTTTATTTGTCCCTATACCAAAAAGAAAAAAAAAATTGTTTCTCTGGTGGCTCAGAGGTAAAGAATCCGCCTGCAGTGCAGGAGATGCGGGTTTGATCCTTGGGTGAGGAAGATCCCCTGAAGAAGGAAATGGCAACCCATTCCAGTCACGGCAATCCATTTTCCATTGCTTGGGAAATCCCATGGACAGAGGAGGCTGGCGGGCTACCGTCTATAGGGTCACTAAGAGTTGGACATGAGTTGGCAACTAATGCACAACAATACAATAAAGATGGAACCCATGCCTTGGTTAAGTTTTAAGATAACTAAGAATTTTCTCTCTAGGTTATTTCATTTTCCTTTAACACTATCTGTACTTTGTATTCTAATAACTCAATATTAATATCATTAACTTGTATAATTGACAAAGTAGAGTTAAAATAAGCATGTTAAATTTACCAATATCCTACTTAAAAATAATGTTTAATTTCACAGAGAGAAATTAAATTAACATGATCTCCCAGTAATGCAATGCTTTCAGACTAATGGACCGAGGCCGAACAGCTGAACTGGCAGTCGAGGACTTGCTCTAAACTAACTGAGGAATGAATGGCCAGGGTCTGAGTTCTCTTCTGCCCACAAAGCTAGCTCCAAACATCCTCTAGTGCTGCATGGCTCAGAACTCTCCTCTGCATGGAGTGGATGGTGGTGATCTTCTCACAGGCTCAGCTGGTCCCTCTGGAGCCAACACAGTGTCTTCTGACTAGCCTACCAAGAGCCCTCTGCTCTCTTGCTGTGGATTCCAAGTGGGCAGCAGCAGGACAACAGCTGCTGCCCTGAGCCAAGTACCAAGGTAAGAAGGCATAAAGCCTGGATCTGGGTAATTACAAAAGAAAAGTGTGTGAGAGGGCATGAGAGAGGCGGAGTAGGGCAGGAAACTGAAAACTGAGTGAGAACACGTGAAAAAGCTTGGCAGACTAGGACAGAGGAAGATCACTAGAGACAAGAAGTCAGAATTCAGTTATGGACTACACTATTTCACTTTGAAATTATTGTCTACTCTGTTAGAGATGCTGGAAAGCAATGCTATAAGACAAGTAGTATACTGATTACTTGTTAATTCATGAAATAAGTTCACACTGATTCAAATACACACCCAAGTCTTAACATAATTTACAGTAACTGAATACTTTGAGAATAGGCTCAAACAAGAAGTGTTCTTAGGCTAAAAGATCACAAATTAGAGAGTGAGGACAAAGGCTCTGCCTGGATTCTAATCATAGTAATTTGTGTGTATTCAATTACACATCCTGCTCCAACAATGTTTTTTCTTTTACTCGAATGGCATACTTTTAAGCAAAGGCTTTGGCATTCATTTTCTTGTAGCAAGCAAGTTAATGGGGCTCAAGTTCTACTTTGGGAATCTCTAGAGAAGAAAACACAGATTCAAGCTTAATAACTGGTCTCAATGGACATGAATCTGAGCAAACTCTGGGAGACAGTGAAGGACAGAGAAGCCTGGTGTGCTATAGTCCATGAGGTCACAAAGAGTTGGACATGACTGAGCAACTGAACAAGTCAGTTCTTAATGATACTACTGAAATAAAATGAACAGCAATTGAAAGCTCTGAAGTATTTGACAAGAAACTATCTGGAAAAGTGAAAGATAATAAAACAACCAAAGAATTGAATTAGAATATGTCAAGTTATTTCAATTAATAACAAGAATAAAAAATTAAAAAAAAAAAATCATACTCAAGGGGGAAATCTAGTTCTTTAGAATCTGTGAGATTTAATGGTATAGTGGTAATCACAATTAATACTGGATCAGGACTTCAGAGAACTTCTGATTAAACTACTTAGTAACTACACTTTTTAAAATTAATTTTAATTGGAGGATAACTGCTTCACAATGTGTTGGTCTGTGCTGTGCAATGTGAATCAGCCGTATCCATATATTTCCTCCCTCTTGAACCTCCCTCCGAAGTCCCCCACCCCACCCACTAGGTTGTCACAGAGCTGCTCCCTCATGCATAACCTTGGCTGGAGAAAAACCACTTCCATGTGGACCAGACTAACTTTCAATTCATGACAGCCAGCCTCAAATGCAACCTTTCAGCCGTTCAGCAGTCATACTGTATTTCCCTCACGTAGTCACCCTTTCACCCTTCGGACCCTCTTCAAACCTCCAAAACCTTCTCCCCATCCCCTTCTCATGCTCAGCTGACGGTCATATTTCCAAACATATTAATACTAAGAAAACAAGCATGCAGAAAAACACTTCTGCAAGCATTCATCTCCACAGCTTCCTATCCAGATCTCTGGGTAACACCTGGAGCCTTCCCTCACCATGGAAATGCTGCCCACGTTCCTGGCAAAGACCAGTTTTCCACCTGTGCACTCGAGCCCATCCTCTCTCATATCTTCCTAAAGGATATCCACGGCTACCACACATCATCCTTTCTCTACAGATCTTTGCCATCAATAACAGAAAACACACTGCTCTCCCAACTCTGCTTTCCCCTTCAAGCAACTGCTCTCTTTCTCGTTATCTTTTTAACTAAACTCCTCAAAGAGCTATCTACATTTGATTTCTCCAGTTCCTTTCTTCTTTTTTAATCTGCTCTCATCAGGCACCTCCTTCATCATTCTGAAATAGCTCTGGTCGAGGATATAAATTAACTATAATGTTGAATCAAAGATCAATTCTTGGCCCTTATCTTAGCTCATCTATCAACAGCACTTGACACAGCTGATCACTCTTTCCTTAAAACACCTGCTCTAGAAAACTACCCTCTCTGAGTTTTGCCTGTACTTGCTTATTCATTCTTCAGTCTCCTGTGAGGCTCCCTCGTCCCCTCCTTGATCTCTGTGCTGCAATGTGCCAGAACAGAGCCACCAGAGTATAACCTATGGATGGGTGTTGGTCCACAACACAATGTGTTAACTCAACACAATGATGAGTTAAGTGCAGAAACCAAGAGTAAGATTTGGAAACTTCTGTAACATCCAAATGTGTAACTGGTGGCCTTGAATTTTATGTCTGTAGAAAATTAAGTTCATTTCAAGCACTAGTAACCCTAGAGCTCGTTTGAGATGGAGAGGCACAATGGAAAGGGCTTCCCAAGTGGTGCTAGCAGTAAAGAATCTGGCAGTCAATGAAGGAGACGCAAGAGATGCAGGTTTGATCCCTGGGCTGGGAAGATTCCCTGGAGGAGAAAATGGCACCCCATTCCAAAAGTCTTGCTTGGAAAATTCCAGGGACAGAGGAGCCTGGCTGGCCATAGTCCATGCGGCTGCAAAGGGTCGAACATGACTGAGCGACTGAGCACACACACAGCACAAAGGAAAAGATACTGAACTAAGGACTAGCAGGGCTGGGTTCAAGTTCCATCTTTTGACCTAATTAAAATATGCCCTCAAGCAAATAATTTTACCCCTTTGAGCCACTAGTCTCCTCATCTATAAGAGGCTTAGGACAAAGGGTGTATTTTGATGCCTTTCAGTTCTAATATTCAAGGACCTATCATTCTAAGACCCAACAGTCCGCCTCATGTGATGAAACTTGCCTAGGAGCAAATGGCAGCAATTATGATTAACTTTGGGTGAGTTACACAGTTACTTAATAAAGAGAGAGAATCAACCTCAAAGACTAAAGAAAACTGCTAAAGTGGGGTTAGATCTGGATATTTTTGTGTTATAAGACCCCCTTCAAATCCTGCCTAACTGTAGAGTTAAAGTATCACGTAACAAACGAGAAAAATTTCTAGATCAAACGTCAAAAATTCATGAAATATTTGCATTTGCAAAGGTTACTGTCATACCTTCAGCTGACAGAAACCAGCAACTGGATGCTCCCTCCGCCAGCTTTGTTCCTGATGGGAGGTCTAGTCTCAGCTTGAACTGAAGAGTCTGTCCGGGACACGCAGCCACAGGGGAAAGTCTAACGCCCGGAGCAGATTTAGGTAGCTTGGGTAAGGTCTTTGGTTTTTCTGCTGGACATGGACCATCCACCACAGCATTTTCAGATGTGAAGACTGGGAACTAAAAACAAGAAAATCTGTTTTTTAAAGCACAATCTGTTTTTTCACAGTACTGTAGACTGAGAGAGCTTATTTTCAGACTTTAGAACAAAAGTGAGGTTCAATTTTCAAGGAAACTTAATTGCCATTTTCTTCTGAATCAGAATGCATTTACTTAGACTTCCTCATGATTATTTTGTAGGTTCAAAAAATATTTCATCCTAGCCAAAAGACTGTCAACATTTATGAATGAAATGGAATGAAATTAATTGTTCAATATGTTTATTGATAACAGGAAATTAAAATAAAACTTTATCAATTTAAAGGCAGTGGATGTAATACACACCCTCTTATAATTTTCACTGCCAACTATAAGATGTCAATCATCTCATATCAGAGATCTATGTCAAGAGAAATGAACTTATGATGGCATCTGTGTTTTTATTTTAAATCTTGGAAATTGTTAGAATTTTAGACAAAGAACTCCTGCATTTTCTGGACAAATGTGACATAGAAAGGGATAACTTGAAATTTTATTAGAGACTATGTCCATATCTTTAAAATTAGAACTTATTTAAGTTTCCTCTCATCTTATTTTTAAGTCCTGACCTTTAAAGACCTTTCTTTAAAGATTATTTGGTAATGGATTCACCATAGGAAACAAAGATTACACATTAGTCTGAGGATTGTTTAAAAATTAAAAAAACAAAAACACTCGATTAAACAATCCAACCCACATAGTTTGTGTGTATCAGTATGTCCATACATTTAAAAACAGATGCGCCTTTTTTTTTCCTTTTCTGAAAGTTCATCAAATTCTCTCCAACTTCTAGTGTTTTTCTCAAACATTCTTGGCACAGATGGAATTTTTACTTTAAAAATAACAGGATATCCTTGGAAGAGGCACCCACTCACTACTCTGTCTATATGTTTCACTTTCACCACTAGTGTTGGTCTAACCAAAAGTGCCTCTGTTGTTGCTAGGGATTTCAGAATCTTTCTTAAAATGATGCCCCTTAACTTAAAGATTACTTACCACGGAAACTGTTTTGGTTTCTAAATCCAACACTTTAATTTGATGGTTATTGGTGTCTGCCACATATAATAATTCACCATTCTCTCCAATACACAAGCCTCCTGGTTCATTAAAAGTTGAGTCGGTAAAACTGGAACTGATAATATTACTTGCATTACCAGTTCCTGCTAATGTTGTACAGTTTTTTGTTTTTGGATCCACAACTTTAATCTAAAAAGGACAGAACAAAAATTTATTTATCTGAAGCTCAGTTTCATATTTGTGGTGTGGAAGAGTAACATATTAATAAGCAAGGCAGAGAATTCCTGATTGCCATTAGTATTCTTAATAAACATCAGAGAAAGAACAGACACTTCCATATTTTCTTGAACAGCCAAACATTCAAATATCTCTAAGGGGAGATATTTCATCCTGAGAGTTAAACACTGTAAAATCCCCAGTTACATCCTGTCTTCTAGAAGAAATCTTTGAAAAAATTATTTAATGTTATTCTTTTCCCTCACAATGGGACACAGTTGAACTGACTTCCTTCTTAGGAACATCTAATACGGGCTGAGGATTTGCTAGTTACATTAGACGTTGTGATGCCTGTATTTCAATTACATTAAATTCATAAGCTTCTCACCATACAATACTAATATTTATGTTCCAATGATTTTATTTTAAAAATGCATAGTAAAAATAAAATAGACAAAGAAAACAGAAATGTTGATGAAAACGAATTATTTGCTAACAGGCACGGCAACTATGCAAAGGCTCAAAAATGTTCATTTGTTAACTGACATATTAATTTCCCTGTTACCTGCCCTCTCCTTCTTTACTGAAGATGTTACTAAACAGCTTTAGTGGCTTGCAATTCCCAATTTTTGGCTATTGTCATTGGGAATTTGTTTAGTCCTTTCCCCAGCTCAGAGTACTATCACATCATTTCTGCAAAGAAAGGACCAAAAAAGGAACAGAAAGGCTTATGTACAGTTGTCGAAGACTGTTATTTCTCTCTACATTTTAGAGTGGCAGTTGTAGGAGACTCACAGATCTTTCAGCATTTTAAATATCACAAGTAAAAAGCAGGGTATTATATAATTCTGTCAAGACTCACCTTGTGATTGTAAGAGTCTGCCACGTACAGTAAATTCCTTTTCTTGTCCCAAGTTACTCCAAGTGGGTGCTGAAGCCTTGCACTGATTCCTACTCCATCAACATCACCAAAAGCAAATAAATTCTTTTTTTTTTAAAAGAAAAGAAGCAGCATGTATTAAAGTTTTTTCACAGAACTTTGTTAGGGTATAAAGTGAAAATTCAGATGGCTGTACATGCTATTTAAGTTAAAGGGGGAAAAGTCTGATTTCATATAAATAGGGTTGGGCATTTGACTGAAACTAGAAAAAAAAATGACAGAATTCTGAACCTGACTTAATTTGTGGTTCTACGGAATCTTATTCACAAAAATGACACATCTGATCTGGACAGGTCAGGTCTACTACTCTGGTGCTCTTTCCACCCTCCTGCCAAATATCTACTCTTCATTTTCCCCTTGCTCAGTAATCACAATTTTATCCTTCCCTTCTCTTGGAAGCCTTGACATTTATACAGAATCGAATCATATCGGTTAACTTTTCTTAGGTGGTTTTGTTACTTGTGCTTCTTTATAGTCACATTTCCTTTGGTTTGACTTCCATTTTAACATGGGTAAGTTCAAGCATTTTCTCCTTCCTACGTCTTATTACCTTCACAATTCAGAAAATTGCAAGCTCGCTAAGCAGGCACGCCGTGTAAAAGTGCTTTTCATTACCATGGGATCTCTCTCTCCTCCCACGAGGTGCTTCACTGCTCCATCTTTCAGCGAGACGGTTCTCACTGTGCTGCTCTCACTATCTGCCACAAACAGGCAGCTCCAGGGATCCTCTGAGGCCAGAGACAGACCTGAAGGCTGGGCAAAGCCTGCCTTGTGAGGGTATGCATTATTTCGATTCTCTTCATTTCCACTTCCAGCAAACCGAAGACAGGTTCCTTCTTTTAACTCGCTAAAGAAGACAAATTCACAGGTGAAATGTCAACACTGTTACACTGTGCCCAATTTAATTATTAAACAAATGAATGTAAATGATGAAGCCAATGGTGATAGCATTATATATTAAAAAAAATTTGCTGATCTTGACCTAGTTAAATTGTGCAAATAAGCTTTCATTGTAGTTTTTCTAATTATTAACTTATTTACCCACTGTATAGGGATCTTTCTACCTTTTTTTTTAAACATACACAAAAGTGAAACTATTCTCAATGATTAAACAGGAGATCCCAGACAAAGTTAAAAATACATGAATTAAGATCACATCACTGATGAGATAGTTTTCCTCCAGATGATCAGAGGTAGGTACAGCTAGATCCCACCTTTATATCCTGGTGTCTTAGCTTCAAGCAATATTAGATTTTGAAAGGGAATTAAAAAGATCTACGTAATCTCTTCTAGCTCTTGATAGTTCTGAGCTTAAAAGGGAATTAAAAAGATCTAGGTAATCTCTTCTAGCTCTTGATAGTTCTGAGCTTAAATTTTCATTAAAAATGTTTTATTTTCTTGTACATAAGTAGAGACCAGGTTTCCCTGGTGGCTAAGTGGTAAAGAATCCACCTGCCATCCAGGAGACGTGGATTCAATCCTTGGGCTGGGAAGATCCCCTGGAGTAGGAAATGGAAACCCACTCCAGTATTCTTTTTTTTTTTTTCCACTCCAGTATTCTTGCCTAGAAAATTCCATGGACAGAGGAGCCTGGCAGGCTACAGTCTACGGTGTTGCAAAAGAGTTGTACGTGACTTTGTGACTAAACAACAAAAAATATAAGAAGAGACTAGCAAAAAGAATTAAAAGAATCATTTGTGAAAGATGGGTGCTCATTTTAAAGTAATAATATGATTTTGCTGCTTTAATCAATTGTACAAATCCACTTCCTATGTATACTAGGGAAATTTCTATTTAAAGGACTATTGTAATGATTTCTTTGTAATGTGGAGAAAGTTTTATACCTTGCTTTCTAAGTTTATGTCAGAGGAACTGTAAGGAAGACATGCTAGTGTCCTGCATTGAGGGGAGGGAAGAAGCTGACTTGGGATACAAAACAATGAGAGACTCTGTATCATTTTCTAATACTGTAATACATGCAAAAAAAAGTATAAAATGACCATCAGTCACTTACTGGTTAATATCATCCCAATGCTAACGTAGGTAGGGAACAAGGAGTGGAAGCAAAGGGATAGAAAATGTATAAATACAGCCATTTATTCAAGGCCTATTTATATGTAATAACAAATATGCCAAACAAAGGAGTTATAACAATTTTACAAAGGAGCTCTCTTAATAAAAGCTAGAAATAGTGGGGAGAAACAGTAACTTCTAAAAGCTCAGGAATTATTACCACTTTAAGGTCAGTGACAAATAACGCATTCTTGAAATTATAATACAAGTCAGACTGGACACTTCTCTATTGTGAAAGAGTGACACCTCTACTTAGTGAAATTTAGACCACTCTTGACTGTCTAGGTCCAAAACAGTCATCATTTAGAACAGCACCGTCTGGTCATCTCTGCTGCTACTTCTCTCCTCGTCTCATATGCTGCTGGTACCTCACTGTTCAGCTTCCGAGCTCTGGCCCGGATAAGAGCAGCGGCCTCCTCCTCGTACCTGTCTGTAGTATTGCCACACTCGAAATGCTGCCAGTGTTCTTTCAAAACACAGATCTTATCATATCACTTCCCAACCTAAAACTTCCTATCAAGTCACGCAGAATACCTTTCAAATCTCTTAGAAAGATTCACAAGGAACTTCAGGATCTGGCTTCTACTGACATCACAAGGGTCATTTCTTGCCTAGAAAACCTTTACCCTTCTGAACTCCTTCCTACCCTTCTGTCAGGTTTAGTTAGTAGCTAAAAAGCTCTTAGTTAGTAGCTTCTTCCAGGAAGCCTTCCTTTGATACCTTAAATTTTATTTATATCAGATGTTCCTCTTATTTATGTAAGAGATATGCCATTTCATCTCTACTACAAAGCATAGTGCCTTGTTTGCTTAATAAATATTTTTCAATGGATGATTAAATGCTGCTAAACATCTTACAAAGCAACACACACACACAATTTAGGATATCCGATATTCTGGATTATCTATACAACTGCTCCTCTCTAGTGATAAAGGTAACTGAGGTGACTGGCACGTACTTTCTACGGTGATTTGACAGTCTTTATGGTCTATGAATTTCATTCATTTACTTCCGCAGACCTTCACTGAGCTCCTGTCATGTATCAGATACTGTGCTAGGTGCAGAGGACAAGAAGTGAATGAGAAAGGGTCCTTTCCTTAAAGAGGCAGACTAGTAGGAGAAAATAGCTATGTAAACAAATAAGTGCAAACAAAAATACAGAAGGTGAGAGAGAGAAGAGGGGAGGGTGGTGGGATGAAGGGTGAGAGGGAGGGAAGAAGGGAGATATGGGAGGAGAGGGGAAGAGAAAGGCTGGGGTATTAGAGGAAGAGGAAAGGCTTTACAGGAGAAATACAAGAAACTCTGTAGAGACACTACTTTTCCATCTTTATATCCCTAACAGTGGCAGCAACGCTACCTACATTCACTGTACAGGCCAGGCACTAGGCTGAGCTTTTAACACATATTAATTCTCAAAACAAAACCTATGAGGTAGATATAAGTAAGGAAAACTGAGGCTTAGAAAGTTAAAGTGACTCTCCTAAGCTCATGTAGATAAGAAGTTGCAGAGCCAGGCTCAATATCAGGCCTGATGACAAAGCTGGAGCTATTAATCATTCTTCCATGTAGTCTTCAAATATCTGAACTGATCAGGGAGATTAGAAATAAGTGTTAAAAGATGTTTCCAGTTTTCTTTGTGAATGCTTGGTGAGACTGCTCTTTCTAAGCTACTTAGGGTTGGATGTGGTCCTAAGACATACTTGGGCTGATGAAATGTGAGTAGAAGTGATATGTCACTTCTGAGAAGTTTTAAGAGCTGATGAACACCTCATCACCTCTCTCTCTCTGCCAGGACAACTGGCAAAGCTCCAGATGGCGGCTGCTGCATAAGCTTGGGTGGCAGAGTAGTGCTTCCCCTGCAAGCAAACCTTGTCTTAAGCCACCGAGAACCACAGCTATTCATTATATGGCAGCATAGCCCCGCATATCCCGTCTAGTACAGTGGGTGTTACAAGGATGGAGACTTTTGGAAAAGGAATTCTGTGAACTCCATGTTTACCCAAAGAGAGATGTTACCACTTACTTTTTCTTTGGTAATCTGCCACAGTCCAACAAGAGTGCCCATATCTGATGAGTCCCTGCCATGGCTATCCACAGAATGTTATCTCTTTGGACTTCTGAACCTTTATGAAAAGAAACAGTAATTATCATATATGTATCCGGTTAACAAACACTGCCAGTTGTTTCAGAAATTTAAATTAAGGGAGACAACAGTATGTTTATAAATCAGCTGACAGAAGGAAACAAAAACATCTGCAATGTTTTAAGTCGTTTTGGAAATTTTTCCATTTTCCTCGTGAAAGGTTTACTTCTTTAGACTTAAAAATATACATTCACAGAAATCCAAAGTATTCTCAGTAGCAAAATGTCCCTCTGCATCTCTGGGCATGATGTTTTTAAACATCTGATTTCTTATTTTATGTGACAAGAAATCGCTTGATGCACATGCTCCAAAGAAACTTTGGCAGTCAAGAACCTAAATTACATGCTTCAGGAATACAGGAATAGTTCTTTGAGCAATTTCTCATGAAGAATTGTACCTTTTAATAGTTTAAGAAATGTATATTTCCACCATATATTAGCTTTTAGGCTTAGACTCACATCACTACTGCTATTTAAAAACCTCCTGTTTAATTGTTGTGAACTTTTCTCAAAAAGATATAGTTCACATGCAATAAAGTTAAAAGTACAATATATTATACCTATTTTCTAAAATTAATAAATAATTTTGTCTTTTAAAACTGATATTACAACTTATTACAATGTGACAAGGCTCCATTTCTCAAATTAATTCTACTGTTAAAATATTTAATTATTTTAACTTAAACTGAATTCTGAGGCTACTTTTACATGTAGTTGAGACATTTTCACTAAAATAATTTGTTCAGATGTATCTTGTGCTAAAAGAAATATCTTGGTAAGATTATTTTATTTTTTCGTTAACTTCAGTTACGTCCAGAAGAAATTTTTCTTCATTAACTTGTACTATTTTCAAGTGTCTTTCACAGCAACAAAAATAATGGTGATGATCAACAAACTGTGGTGCTATATGCCAAGCACATTATAGAGACTATTACCTAAATCTTCTCAAAAGCCCCAGGAGACAGGCGGTGTCATTAGGTCATTTTTACAGGCCCTTTACAGAAGAAACTGAGGCTCAGAGAGGTCATGTCACTTGCCAGGATCACAGAGCTAGTAAATGAAGGAACTAGAATCGGAACCCAGGCAATCCAACAGAAAACTCTATTTAACATATTGCCCCTTTCTCTGTTAATTGCTATCATAGAAATCTAAAGAAAGATAGTTTATTTCAATTTAATTTTTCATAGTCAAATACTCTTATATACAAAAACTGTATTAAGAGTGACAATGGCATCCATATGCTCTGGTGACTCAGTCTCTGCTTAATCACTTTAAAACTAGATCAAAAGCTCTTCATTATTCTTATTTTGTCCCGGCCATGTGAAGACAAAGCTTGAAGATGACCTTCTAAAAGCCAGAAGAGAGCTCTCACCAGAAACCAATCATGCTGGCACCTTGACCTTGGACTTCTAGCCTCCACAACTGTGAGAAAATAAAATTCTGTTCTTTAAGCCACCCAGTCTGTGGCATTTTGTTATGGCAGCCCGAGCTAAGATATTCCCCCTGAGAATAGAAATGAGACAAGGAGATCTGCTATCAACACTTATTTAGCATCATATGAAGGTCCTAATTCATACAAGGAAGAAAAAGAAGCAAAAAGCGTAAAGATTGGGAATAAAACTGTAATCATTAGAAGATGACATGAGTTTAAGCCTCTCTAACTTGGCCAAAGAACTGTCTGGTTTATACATAAGTAAAAGACCAAATCAGGTGTCCAACTTCTCCAAACAGGCCCGTCTTGTTCAACTAGGCTTGACTGTAAGAGGCAAAAGCTTCAAAGTAATGTTAGTGAGCCTCTGTTTGTTCTTGGTCTCTGTGTCCTTATTTCCTTTAGAAGTTGGAGGTATGAAAAAGAGTGCAGAAGCAGAGGCTGTATCAGGTTGGGTTTCAGAAGTTTATGATTCTACACACCAACTGATAAGGATAATGATGAGGGGTGTGGTGGTGAAAAGGATAACCATTCAGAACACTTCCTAGTTTAAGGCACTGAGCTAATAATAAGCCCTTTACATGGATTATTTCGTTTAATTTGACAACATTAGCAAGTCCTGCTATTATCATCTCTATTTTATAAAGAAAATGAAATTGAAATGGGTTAAATAATTTGTTGGTATTCACACAGCTAAACCTGGAATACTAATACCTTAGTGAGTTCAACTCCATGGTGGCTCAGGAGGTAAAGAATCTGCCTGTAATGCAGAACACCCAGGTTTGATGACTGGATTGGGAAGATCCCCTGGAGAAGAAAACGGCTACACGCTCCAGTATTCTTGGAGAAGGCAATGGCAACCCACTCCAGTACTCTTGCCTGGAAAATCCCACGGACGGAGGAGCCTGGTAGGCTGTGGTCCATAGGGTCACTAAGAGTTGGACACGACTGAGCGGCTTCACTTTCACTTTTCGCTTTTATGCGTTGGAGAAGGAAATGGCAACCCACTCCAGTGTTCTTGCCTGGAGAATCCCAGGGATGGCGGAGCCTGGTGGGCTGCCGTCTCTGGGGTCTCACAGAGTTGGACACTGCTGGAGTGACTTAGCAGCAGCAGCAGCCAGTATTCTTGCCTGTAGAATTCTATTGATAGAGGAGCCTGGCAGGCTACAACCCTTGGGGTCACAAAGAGTTGGACAGGACTGAGTGACTAACACAGCAGCACATAGCAGTGAGGCCAAATCCAGATTAGTGTTATGATCAGAATGAAGGAACTACAGAAGTGAGCTTGTGCTTTATAAACACCAAGTCAATGTGATAATATTCAGACACAAAAATACAACTGTTTTATTTTATTAAAATAAAAACACACTAGTCACATTATATAAGATTTATTCCTCAAAAAAAATTGTTTCACCTGATTAGAAGATAAATGTTATTTTAGAGCATATTAATGGAAGTCAGAGAAGCATATTATCTAAGCTGTAAATTACCAGACAAGCATACTAAATAGTTGGATTTCAATCATTAAAGGTCAAATAAGTACAGCTAAATTTCTATCTAGGGAAATGCTGATTAAAGGGCCAAGGAAGGTTAATGGGATTCAGGCATACTATCTTTCCTTAAGTGATTTTAAATCAGGTAAAGTCTGAATTACAGAGACTAACAGGGGTTACTGAAAAAAAATTCTTTATGATAAAAAATAATTCTTGGGTTATTGTCTTGTATGAGTAAGAGTCAGCACAGACTTAATATGCACATTAGAAACATGGCAATGTTTCTGCTGAAAAATGATTTTTTTGGAGTTACTTTTAATTATTTTTAGTGGATGACAAAGTTCTGACCATATTTAGAGTGATAATCAAAAATAAAGATGAAAAAACTTTGGCATAAATGTTAATTATTTTCATGCTTTTATCACTGTAACAGCATAATTGGATTAAATATTCAGGTACTATTAAAAATATAAACACACACATTTACATATTACATATATATTTAAAATAATCAGAGGTATTTCAAATCCCTTTCCTTAATGTCTTCTTTAAGTATGCTGTTCATTATTTGAGTCTCTTGGGGGAGTATATACACAACTGGATATTTATCTTTTATTTTCCATTCTCTTTACCTGACCTATTTCATTTCCTTTTAAGATTTACTTTTTCTTTAAATATGCATATGAATAGATAAGTGTTCATTATAAAGTTTAATAGTAAGTAAATATCCATGTGCATACCACCAGCTCAACAAAAGGCAGTATTATTTAAAAACCTCCTGCATCCCTTTATGAATATATCCTCTTCCTCTCTACCAGTCTAAAACTTTGTTTTTTTATTATATTCTTCAGTTTTTAAAAATCACCATGTTTGAATGGCTCTCTCATTGTATAATTAGTCTTGCTTGCTACTGAACATGCTACAAAAACTGAACATTTTTCTGCTCAACAGATTTCCTGATACTCATCCAAGCTATTAGGTATAGCTGTGGGCTCTTGTTTGTACTGCACAACCGCTTAATATATGAAGATATTATAATAAATACAACCTATTTTTCATGTTTTCCTTCTGATAATTCCACCCTCTTTCATATTCCTAACTATGGTAGAATTTCAGAAATATTCTATATAATTTTTAAAGTACTAAAGAATTTAAGTGTTTACAAAAACAATTTTTCTTAACCACAATCCCTGTCAAATTACATTTAATCCCATATCTGCTTAAACCAGTTCTACAATGATATAACTTAAATATATATGAATCAACTCAACATGAATGCAAAAGGGAAGCTATTTCTCTGAAAACAAAGTTAATACTTTGGAAAGACTCAATAAAGGCAAGTAAAGTCAAATTATTAGTGAACTAGATGTGAAAAGATAACTGGGAAGAATAGCTTTTAAAAATTTCAGCCCTCAGTTTATTTTGCAGGTGTTTAAAAAACTCTCATCATGGTTTAAGGAAACCAAAATAATACATTTTGAGTGGCATAAGACTATCAGGGGACACAATGTATATTTATATTTCTTAACACAAAGCATTTTTAGTTTTATGATTCTCAGATTTAACAATTTTTTTTTCTCTATGGATCACTTATAGCCAATCACTTCAATAAAGGATTCTACTGGATTTATTCACCTCTACTTTTATTTTACAAAGTATTTAGGTACTTCACAAAGAAAGAAACCCTAATAAGATAAATAAATCTAAAATAATAAAATTGAAGCAATAGGTAAAGAGAGAAGAAACAAAAGATGCAGCCATACTAATATTAAAATATGAATGTCATGTTTCCATTATACTTTGCTAAAGACAAATCCATCTCTAAGTTTCCTACAAATCAATATAACAATGCAAACATAATCAGTTAAGATATTTAAATTATCCCAGAGCTTAAAAATAAACTTGATACTGAGAAAAAAGTATAATTATTTATAACACAGAAAAGAACTTCTCTAGTAGATATTCAGAGAGGTTAAGATAATAACTAAAATGAGCAGCAAGCCCTTACAGTAAAAAGTTAACAGTCCCATAGGACTGTGCTTTGATGAAATATAAATATGAAACATATAAATAAAAATGAATGTAAGATACATTGATATGTTAAAATATTTTTAAATGAATGATATGATATGATGCCAAAATATAGTTTAGTAAAAACAATTGTAAGGAGAGAAAGTAGTCTATGATCCAATTTCCCCATACCCTAACAAAATACATTTCTAGGATTATATTTCAGAGTGATTTAAAGCAGTGGTTCTAAAAATGATTTTGGGTAACATACCACTTTGGAACTCTGATGAGAATCTGACCAATTCCCCCAAACCTTAAATAGAATTTCTGGGAAATTTAAGAACTTCACAAAGTCTAATCACAAATGCCTTGGGTATATTAAGTCAAGGTTAAAAACTCTTGGGGTTTAAAAAAAAAAAAAAGAAAACTCTTGTAGTCATTGAGATTACAGGACATTCCTACAGTATTTGAAAACCATTTACTCTTAGCATTTGAAGTGTTGAGCTTATTTAAGCTTATTTAAATTCAAGATTATTCCTCTTGCCAAGTATCTGGAAGCGAGGTCACTTTAAGTTCAGTTCAGTACAGTCACTCAATTCTGTCCGACTCTTTGTGACACCATGGACCGCAGCACGTCAGGCTTCCCCGTCCATCATCAGCCCCTGGAGCATGCTCAAACTCATGTCCATCGAGTCAGTGATGCCATCCAACCATCTCATCCTCTGTTGTCCCCTTCTTCTCCTGCCTCTGATCTTTCCCAGCATCAGGGTCTTTTCAAATGAGTCAGTTCTTCGCATCAGGTGGGCAAAGGATTGGAGCTTCAGCTTCAGCCATCAGTCCTTCCAACGAATACTCAGGATTTCCGTTAGGATTGACTGGTTGAATCTCCTTGCAGTCCAAGGGACTCTCAAGAGTTTTCTCCAACACCACAGTTCAAAAGCATCAATTCTTCATCGCTCAACCTTCTTTATGGTCCAACTCTCACATCCATACATGACCACTGGAAAAACCATAGCTTTGACTACATGGACATTTGTTGGCAAAGTAATGTCTCTGCTTTTTAATATGCTGCCTAGGTTGGTCACAGCTTCTCTTCCAAGGAGCAAGCGTCTTTGAATTTCATGGCTGCAGTCACCATCTGCAGTGATTTTGGAACCAAAAAATATAAAGCCTTTCACTGTTTCCATTGTTTCCCCACCTATTTGCCAGGAAGTGATGGGACTGGATGCCATGATCTTAGTTTTTTGAATGTTGAGTTTTAAGCAAACTTTTTCACTCTCCCCTTTCACTTTCATCAATTTCATCAATAGGCTCTTTAGTTCTTCTTCGTTTTCTGCCATAAGGACAGTGTCATCTGCGTATCTGAGGTTACGGATGTTTCTCCTGGCAATCTTGATTCCAGTTCGGCATTTTGCATGATGTACCCTGCACATACGTTAAATAAGCAGGGTGACAATATACAGCCTTGACATACTCCTTTCCCAATTTGGAACCAGTCTGTTGTTCCATGTCTGGTTCTAACTGTTGCTTCTTGACCTGCATACATATTTCTCAGGAGACAGGTAAAAGGTGGTCTCGTATTCCCATCTCTTTAAACTGTTAAGTTAAATGCAGAGCCATATGCTTTTAATGATGCTTCCCAGGTGGTGCTACTGGTAAAGAAACTGCCTGCCAATACAGGGGATACAAGAGATGTGGGTTCGATCCCTTGGTCAGGAAGATCCCTGGAGGAGGGCACAGCAAACCTCACTAGTATTCTTGTCTGGAGAATCCCATGGACAGAGGAGCCTGGCAGGCTGCAGTTCATAGGGTTGTACAGAGTTAGACATGACTGAAGCAACTTAGCATGCACGCATGCTTTTAATGATCTATTGAGCTAAGGTAGCACTCATTTCCTTTCTAAAAACTGAGCCTAATAAAGATATAAGCCTCAGCACATCACTCCAGTTAGAAGCTGAGGGAGTCCTTGTCAACAGAGCCAATATTTTCCTTGGAAAGCAATTTGGGTACACTCTCAATATGAGATAAACAACCAGAAATTCCATGCCATAAAGTAGGACCGAACAATTTCTAGCCTAGAAAAATATGTAAGTACTCTACTAAATGAATCCAACATAGTAAAGCATCTGGTAAAGTACACCCAGTTTTTAAACAATATAAATTCTGATTATAGGCAGAATTAGACAGTGTTTGTCTTTCTCTGATATATTTCACATGGTATAACACCTTCTAGATCCATCCACGGTGTCACAGATGGCAAGATTTCATTCTTTTCTATGACTGACTAATATTCCAGTATATAGAAGTATTATTATTTTTTTAAACTACTCAAAATAAGCTATAATTATTAAAATTTTAATAATCTAAAAAAAACCCGTCATTTCTTGATTTGCTTTTTCACATGGCAGTAAATAAAAAGGACACTGTTAAACAGTATACTGCATGAATAATCTTTTGAAATTTTGAAACTATAATCCTTCCAATTTAAGAATATTCAGATCTTAATTGAAAACTGCAACTAAGATGAAATTCTTTAACATTAGAGAAATATATAATCTATCTTGTATATAAAATATGCATGTAATGTCACATGTTATATATAATGATATAGTTATCCTACCTTCTATATATTATTGGTAGCTTTGCTTTTATGCAATTAACAAATCCCAAGTCATGGATATAAAAGCATAAAATAACTAGTAACAATTAATCCAAATGAATGTTCCTATAATATTTTTAAAATCTTATTTTAACTCAGCAAAATTTACTTATTTAGTATCAAGTTTACATACCTGACCTTCCAAAAACTACATCCCAAGGGGAACTAATGGGCTGTTCATCTCCTTTAGCTCCACCTTCTTTATCTGTACCTTGAATTCCAATTCCAGCCACAGTGCTCACCATCTCAGCTTCTAGGTCAATCTATGGAAATTAATACAGGTTTTATACAATGCATCTATTTCCAAAAGAACATATAGAAAACATGTGCTTTATTTACACTATGTGTGAACTTATATATTAAAAAACTGAGTGGTTTTAGTATATAAAATAAAAAAGGAAACGTGCAACATAAATACTTTAAAGAAAAGCTTAAGAAAAAAGGCTTATCAAGTACATGGTGATCTTGTTATTAAAATGCACAAAACTTAGTCCTTTTCATTTCTCTATCCATCCACTCCCCAACTTTCCTCTCACCCACTCGCCTTCATCATGCCTCTACCAAAACTGGAATTGAACTCAACTATAAAATATTTTAAAAGAAGGTGACATTTGAAATGTAAAGCAGCATCAAGAAAAACACTTCTTAAAATTAAATGCATATTTAAATTGTGCTTGGTTAGTAATTGACACATTTAGAGTTTAACATGTGGTAAGCACTGACCTCATCTATCCATCCAAACTCATATACCCCTACAACTGTGATTTTGATTATTTCAGAGGAAACTGAGGCACAGATGATTAAGTAAGATCCCAATACCCCACAGCCAGTAAGTCCAGGATCTTGGATCTGAACCACTTCCAGCTCTACTACATGCCTCTGCATCATAAACCAAAAAACTAATGCATTCTACCGAGAAAAAAAAAGATGCTTTTGTTTCATCTGAGACTTTTCAACATCTTATGAAAATTTTCAAACAGAGAAAAGCTGAAAGAATTTAACTCGAGCGCTTCATTTTTTCAGAGCTCCGTTTTCCTTTATTTGAGGCAAAACTTACAACAAAATGTACAAATCATAAGTGTATCATCTGATAAATTCTCACAGATACATAAACTTGTGTAGTCCCAATGTACATAGATACAGAATGTTACCATCACTCCAGAAAGTTCCCTCACACATCTTTCCAGTCATCCCCAAACCCAGTGGCAAACAGTATTAATTTTTTTTTCCACCATAGATTAGCTGTAACTCTTCTAGGATTTCAGATAAATGAAATGATACAGTAATGTACTCTTTTTGTAAGGCTTCTTTCATTTAACGTGTTTGAAATTTATTCATGTTCCTTCTGATTGTTGAATGGTATTCCATCAAAGGAATATATCACAGTTCATTTACATATTTTTTTAAAATGTATTATTATTTATTCGGCTGCACTGGGTCTTAGTTGAGGCATGTGGGATCTTTAGTTGCAGCATGTGATAACTAGCTTTCTGACCAGGGATTGAACCTGGGCCCCCTGCCTTGGGAGCTCAGGGTCTTAGCCACTGCACTACCAAGTCCCTCATTTATATATTTTCTTACCAATGGACACCTGGACTACTTCCAGCTTGGGGACCTTTAAATAGGGATGCTGTCAATGTTCTTATATAGCCTTTTTGTGGACATGCTTTCCCTTTTCTTGGGTATGTACACAGGACAATAACTGTTATGTTATAGGGCAGGTATATTAGCAGCTTGATATAAAAACTTCCAGAAGATTTTCTCCAATGGTCTATCATTTTCTATTGCCACCAATAATGTATGAGAGTTCAAATTGCTCCACATCCTCGCCAACCTCTGGTATCATCATTTTTTTTTAATTTATTTTTTATTGAAGGATAATTACTTTACAGAATTTTGTTGTTTTCTGTCAAACCTCAACATGAATCAGCCATAGGTATACATATATTCCCTCCCTTTTGAACTTCCTTCCAATCTCCCAGTCTTTTTAATTTTAATCATTACAGTGGCTATACAGTGATATTTATTGTGGTTTGAACTCACATTTCCTTCTCAACTTACAACATTGATCATTTTTCTATGTACTTGTGGTTACTGTCATATCTTCTTTTGAAAAATGTTAAAATCTTTGGCTCATTTTTTATTGGGTTGTCATTCCATTTTTCAGCCGTAGATACCTTTATATTACACGGATACTGATCCTCTTCATAGATGTATTTTTGTGAATTTTTGTGACTATTTTCTGATAAAATAAGGTGAAAGGCCACAGCCTAATTATTTTGTGGCCACACCATGTGGTTTGTGGGATCTTAGTTCCCCAACTAGGAGCTGAAGTGGGCCCTCAGAAGTGAAAGCACAGAGTCCTAACCACTGGACCGCCAGGAAATTCCCACGGCTTTTCACTTTAACAGTAAATTTTAATAATAAGCAGAAGTTTTATAGTTAGATAAATGTGAATCTACAGGTTTTCTTCTTTTGTGATTTTTGTTACTGTGTCCTGTCTTTGAGAGACCTTTGCCTACATGCAAGTCACAAAGATATTCCTGTACGTTTTCTTCTAAAAGCTTCATAGTTTTAGCATTCACATTTAGGTCTGTGATGCATCTTGAACTGATGCTTGCACGTGGTGTGTGAAGCAGGGGTCATGTTTACTTTTTCCCCATGTGGGTATTTAGTTGTTCAAGTACAATGTGCAGAAATGACTCTCCCTTCTCCCGACTGAGTGCTTCGATGCTTTTTAGAAGATCAAGTGATTGCATAGGTGTATGGTTACCCCTAGGTGCTGTTTTTTAACTGATCTATATACCTGCCCTTATGAAACTATCACTTGTCTTGATTAGTAAGTAGTATAGCATCAGTATACTGCACAGCGTTACAGGGTCTTTAAATCAGGTAGTACGAGCCTTTTAACTGTGCTCTTTTTCACACTGTTTTAGATGTAATAATCCTTGGCTTACATTTCCACATAAGTTTCAGAACCCTTTTGTTAACATCTACCCAAAAAGTCAGGGTGTTTGGATTGGGACTGCATTAAGTCTATAGATCAATTTAGAACAAAATGAATTCTAATACTGAGTTTTGCAGTCCAATACTGAGTTAATTTTTCTCAGTTCAGTTCAGTTTCTCAGTCATGTCAGACTCTTTGTGACCTCATGGACTGCAGCACGCCAGGCCTCCCACTCCAGCATCACCTCCTGGAGCTTGCTCAATCAAACTCATGTCCTTTGAGTCAGTGATACCAACCAACCATCTCATCCTCAGCCATCCCCTTCTCCTCCTGCCTTCAATCTTTCCCAGCATCAGGGTGTTTTCAAATGAGTCGGTTCTTTGCATCAGGTGGCCAAAGGATTGGAGCTTCAGCTTCAGCATCAGTCCTTCCAGTGAATATTCAGGACTGATTTTCTTTAGGATTGACTGGTTTGATCTCCTTGAAGTCCAAGGGACTCTCAAGAGTTTACTCCAAAGACAGAAATACAGATCAATGGAACAAAATAGAAAGCCCAGAGATAAATCCACGAACCTACGGACACCTCACCTTCGACAAAGGAGGCAAGAATATACAATGGAGAAAAGACAATCTCTTTAACAAGTGGTGCTGGGAAAACTGGTCATCCACTTGTAAAAGAATGAAACTAGAACACTTTATAACACCATACACAAAAATAAACTCAAAATGGATTAAAGATCTAACCGTAAGACCAGAAACTATAAAACTCCCAGAGGAAAACATAGGCAAAACAACTCTCCGACATAAACAGCAGGATCCTATATGACCCTCCTCCCAGAGTACTGGAAATAAAAGTAAAAATAAACAAATGGGACCTAATTAAACTTAAAAGCTTTTGCACAACGAAGGAAACCATAAGCAAGGTGAAAAGACAGCCTTCAGAATGGGAGAAAATAATAGCAAACAAAGCAACTGACAAAGAATTAATCTCAAAAATATACAAGCAACCCCTGCAGCTCAATTCCAGAAAAATAAACAACCCAATCAAAAAATGGGCCAAAGAACTAAACAGACATTTCTCCAAAGAAGACATACAGATGGCTAACAAACACATGAAAAGATGCTCAACATCACTCATTATCAGAGAAATGCAGATCAAAACCACAATGAGGTACCATTTCACACAAGTCAGAATGGCTGCTGTCCAAAAATCTACAAGCAATAAATGCTAGAGAGGGTGTGGAGAAAAGAGAACCCTCTTACACTGTTGATGGGAATGCAAACTAGTACACTCACTATGGAGAACAGTGTGGAGATTTCTTAAAAAACTGGAAGTAGAAATGCCATATGACCCAGCAATCCCACTGCTGGGCATACACACCGAGGAAACCAGAATTTAAACTGAGACATGTGTACCCCAATGTTCATTGCAGCACTGTTTATAATAGCCAGGACATGGAAGCAATATAGATGCCCATCAGCAGATGAATGGATAAGAAAGCTGTGGTACATATACACAATGGAATATTACTCAGTCATTAAAAAGAATACATTTGAATCAGTTCTAATGAGGTGGATGAAACTGGAGCCTATTATACAGAGTGAAGTAAGCAAGAAAGAAAAACACCAATACAGTATACTAATGCATATATATGGAATTTAGAAAGATGGTAACAGTGACCCTATACCTGAGACAGCAAAAGAGACACAGATGTATAGAACAGTCTTTTGGACTCTGTGTGGGAGAGGGCGAGGGTGGGATGATTTGGGAGAATGACATTGAAACATTATATTATCATGTGAAATGGATCGCCAGTCCAGGTCCGATGCATGAGACAGGGTGCTCGGGGCTGGTGCACTGGGATGGCCCACAGGGATGGGATGGGGAGGGAGGTGGGAGGGGGGTTCAGGATGGGGAACACATGTACACCCGTGGCGGATTCATGTCAATGTATGGCAAAACCAGTACAATTAAAAAAAAAGAAGAAGAGTTTACTCCAACACCACAGTTCAAAAGCATCGATTCTTCAGCGCTCAGTTTTCTTTATGCTACAACTCTCATATCCATACATGACAACTGGAAAAATGATAGCTTCAACTAGACGGACCTTTGTTGGCAAAGTAATGTCTCTGCTTTTTAATATGCTGTCTAGGTTGGTCATAGCTTTTCTTCCAAGGAGCAAGCGTCTTTTAATTTCATGGCTGCAGTCACCATCTGCAGTGACTGCAATGTTTCATAGTTATGTATTTCTAAAAATTTATTCCAATATTCTGTTTTGGTTGCTAAGTAAGCAGATTTTAAAATTCCATTTCCAG